AAGTTTTAAGCGCTCCGCTTAATGGAGCGGTCCACCGGAGTCTCCTGAGGTTTGATGTCTACTAACCACTACATGCCAAAGCTATAGCGCGGCACCGCCTCAGATGCCGCTGGGGTCCATGAGATCCAGCCACGTTGTCACGTTGGCCTCTTCCAGACTCTGTCGCAGCTTTTTGGTAAATTCCAGGTGTGAATGACGTCGCTTTGGCCGACGGCTCTCTTGAGCTCAAACAGCAGTCTGGTGAACGCCGAGTGGCCGCAAACTTTCGCTGTTCGTCCGCATGAGGTCTCCGCCACAGACCTGCGCAGTCACCGAAGAGGCTTCGTTATGGCACATGTAGAGCAGTGTCCCGTACTGAAGAAGGTCCTATCACTTTGTTTCACTATGAGAGTATAGAGACCTTGTGCAACGGTTTCATAACAGTGAAAATGTGCAGTGAGTGATTATTTGATTAGACGGGGAACATATGTGACTACAGTCTTATGCAGTAGTCACATTTGAAAATAACAAAGTGAATGGACAGTGACAGCTCCAGCTCAGGCGTTGAAGAAGTGGTGCTAGCTGTGCTGCTAACACCGTCCAGCAACGCTCAACAGCTAAGTCGCTTTAACGTCGGCCTGCCCTCGACAGACCCAGCTTGGAAAGCGAAATTCCGCTTCGAGAAAGAGGAGCTCCTAGTCCTCGTTGACCTATTGAAGCTACCAAACCCATTTCCAACTCGCCAGCGCTACCTCGTGTCAGCTTTCGAGGCTCTCTGTATATTTCTGTGGCGGATGGCGTATCCAGCACGCTTGAGCGATCTACAGGACCTGTTCGGCCGTAATGAAACCGCAATTTCGTGAATTTCGAATGCGGTGTTAGACCACCTCTATAGCACGTTTCATCATCTACTTCAGTTTGACCACGCTCGACTTACAGAGGCGACACTAAGCACGTACGCGAGTGCTATTCATTCTAAAGGAGCCCCCTTGCACACATGTGTTGGGTTTATCGACGGAACCGTACGCGGTACGTGCCGTCCCGTACGGTACCAAAAGTATGTATTCAACGGGCACAAGGTAAGTCTTGACACCTTCACTTTATTTATAAAACATTTGCTAAACCTCTGCTTTATTGCTTCGTGTAGAGAAAACACGCTTTGAAATACCAGTCGGTTCTTGCTCCCGATGGAATCATAATTCACCTTAGTGGACCTTTTCCTGGAACTCGCCATGATGCCTACATTCTCCAGCAAAGTGGCTTACTTGAGGCTGCATCTCCCTCTCTCAGTGCTAATGGAAGGCATTTTGTTTTTTATGGGGATCCTGCGTACGGCCGACAAGCTCACATAGTGGCCCCTTTCAAAGGAGCAACTTTGTCAAGAGATGAACAGGTATTCAATAGGCGCATGAGTGAAGTTCGTGTGAGTGTTGAGTGGGATTTTGGAAAAATTGTGCGTTATTGGGCGTTCGTCGATTTTCCAAAGAATCAAAAGCTATATCTGCAGCGGCTCGGGAAAATGTATACTATGGGAGCTTTTCTCGCAAATGTCCACACTTGCTTTTACGGCAGCCAAACATCTTCCTTCTTTGAGCTAACGCCGCCAAGAATTGAAGAATACTTAAACAATTTGTTAAATACAAACGGTTTTTTTTTGAAGAGAACTGAAGAAGAAAATTAAAGCGTAACCACGATTTATTTATTTATCTTCTCTATCAGTTTGGACATAAGTCCCATCTGGCTAGCCATCATCTCCATGAGTTTATCCGTCTTCTCTCGGTCTTGCTGTAGTCGTTGCTCCTCCAGGGCAAGGCGACGTTCTTCCAAGTGAAGCTGGCGCTCCTTCTGCTTGTCTCTGGTGCTGCGCGTTTCCGCCTTGGCATCGAGAAACTCCACAAGGGCCTCGGTGCTCGACCTTTTCTTTTTTTTACTTGACGAAGGAGTTGATACGTCGTCTTCAGG